GGAGTATATAGCTCAGTGGTAGAACACCTGCCTAGTAGGCACAAGGCCCCAGGTTTTATTCTAGCACTGAAAATCAAATAAATAAAACAGAAATAATAGTAGTATGACTTTAGTCACAGAAATTCCCTAAGATACTATTGATCTATACATTTAAAAATAGTTATGGTAGTAAATTTGATGTTATATTTTTAAAAATAAAGCAAATTACAGAACAATATGGCTAATGATTCCATTTATATTTGTTATAACCATCAGAAATTTCTCAGCTGTGTTCATAAGCGAATATATGGATAAATTAACTGAAACTTCTTCAAAAATTAAAATAAAATCAAACCGTTACCCAGCAGCTCGTAAGGCTGAGGCAGAAGGATTGCAAGTTCAAAGCCAACCTCAGCAATGGCAAGGTGCTAAGCAACCCAGTGAGACCCTATCTCTAAATAAAATACAAAATAGGGCTGGGGATGTGGCTCAGTGATTGAGTGCCCCTGAATTCAATCCCCAGTACACAAAAAAATAAATAATAAACTATTAAAAGGACATCACTCTATCAAATTATATGTGTAATTTCTATAATGTTTGAATTACTAATACTGTGGTCATTTTCTTTAAATAAATTCACCCATCCTCCAAACACGAGCACCTATCCCTAGGCTATCCCTAGTTGGTCACTAGTCAGGTGTCACTTTCAGGACCTGGGAATAAGCAGGTCAGATGGATTTCTCAACTCCCCTCCTCTTCTTCCTCACAGACTAGGTCAGAGAAAGGTCTGTCTGTCCCCCTCAACTCCTAGGGGTAGGGTTCCAGTCTCACTATGAGAACCGATTTTCTTAGAACAGGTTTATGACCAGAAAAGGAGACAGCTGAGTGCCAGAAAACCATAGGCCCCTCTGGGTCTTACTGCAAACCCCAGCTCTATCTGCACCACAGACTCCCGCCAACCAAGGTCTAGGTTGAGATCGTGGTTTCTTTGAACAGTAAACCTTTGACTGGTGAATTCAGAACCACAGGCCTCCAAAGCAGAGGCTGAGAGCTGGGAGAACTCAGCTCATTCTGAAACTTGAAGTCTTGTTACCCCAAGAGGCTGTAGCTGTTTGAGGAACAAGAGAGCCACAGCGGCTTGGCCTGAGCGAGATCACGTTTCACATGAACTCAGCAGGCAGTGGCCTGTGAGGGCAACACCAGACTGGGTGCTCATTTGCACAGCTTTAGTGGACACTTTGCATATATATCTTCCTTGGGATCAGAGAGGTTAAGACTAGTTAGAATTTGGTCACAGGGGGGCCTGAGAGACAGAGAGAAAGGAGGAAGGTGGCAAAGGGGAAAACTAGTCCTAATATTTCACTTGCAAATCCAGGCAACAGTGTGAGAGGGTTGGAAACTTAACTGTTCCTGAGAGCAAGAAAGTTATGCAAATGAATGTGTTTGCATGTCAGTCCTGGTCCCTAAAAATGACTTAACCCTACACAGGTTCCACTGCCCTAGAGGCCCCACCTGAAATCTTGCAGGCCTGATGGCCACAAACTTCCAGGACAAAGGTTTTAGGTAGCAACTCATCTTCAGAGGAATAACCCTCCCTTCCAGAGGGCAGATGTACATTCCAAGGTGTCCCCAGGTTTAAGATGTGTGTTTAAAATAAAAAAGGGTGAAGCTTAAGCACATTAATATCACTTTTTGTCCCCAATGGTTCTGGAGGACTTCTCTCCATAGACATATGGTAGAGGGCCCACTAGGACAGTAGGGATGAGGGCAGCAGAGAAGCATAGCTTTTTAGACTCAGAGGAGGAGAAGCCAGGAAACGCTGAGGACCAGTCCTCCCTCACTCTCAGGAGGCCTCCGATGCCTAGAGCCATTTTTTTTAATGGATCTTTTTTCACTTAATTTATTTATATATATGCAGTGCTGAGAATAGAACCCAGTGCCTCACACATGCTAAGCAAGCGCTCTACCACTGAGTTATGATCCCAGCCCCTACAGCCATTCTTATAGTGATTCATAAGTTGGAGAACTACAAATGATCTAAGTATCATTTTGTAATGCTTTCTCAGAAAAATGAGCCAGGCATGGACACACACATGTGCAATCCCCCAACTCTGGAGGCTGAGGAAGAAAGATCACAAGTTCCAGGCCAGCCTCAGCAACTTTGTGAGATCCTGTCTCAAAACCAAAGATAAAAAGGGCTGGGGGTGTTGGGGATCTAGCTCAGTTGGTAGAGTGCCTGCCTCATATGCACAAGGCCATGGGTTCAATCCCCAACACCACAAAAAAAAGGTGGGGGCAGGGAGATTTTTTGGGGGAATGTAGTTCAGTGGTAAAGCACCCCTGGGTTCAATCCCCAATATTAAAAGAAAAAAAAATAATGAACTGAAAATTGAGTGGGGAAATCCCTGTCAGATTATGTTCCCAAACTTTGGTTTGGGGAGCAAACATTCTGAATGAGGGTAACCCAGATTGGAGGGGTGGGAAAGAGAAAAGGAACAGAAAGTTTAAGGATACTCCACTAGGAGGGGCAAACCAGATTTTTGTGAAGAAACCACAGGGGTCAAAGATTAAGCTAAATTGCCAAGCAGACAGAAGTTCAGAGCAGAAGACAGAAGGGGCAAACCCACAGTCAAAGGAAGGAAAGATCTGGCTCTTGCAGAGAGAAACCAAAAAGACAATGGGAAAATCTCTGCCATACCGTCCCCTCATTTTTCACCATCAGAACTGTAGCTCAAATGCCACTTCGAAGGGCTACTAGGAAGCTCCCCTGTGACTGACTACAGCTCCACCTCTGCACCAAAAGAGCTTCTGCTATTTGGACAGCTTGGTTCTAACATAGTGACATCCATCCACTCCTGTGCACTGAGCTTCAGGAGGACCATACCCTCTGCTTTTCCTCATCAACATCTCCCCCAAAGTCCTGAGCACCAGGCCTGACACAGAACAGGTGCTCAAGATGAACAGAACTCCTGGATGTGACTGTAAGTCTTCTCACTGGAGAGGCAGCACCACTGACCTGCCTGAAGGATCACCTGGAGCTCCGTAGGAGCAGCCATGACCTTGCACACCAAAGAAGAGGACTCTCAAAGTCTTGGCACAGCCTTATTTAATCCTCGTGTGCCTGGGTGGGGCCAGGAGCAGCATCACCTCTAAACCAAGGCAGAAATGTGAGGGCTCTGTCCAAACAAAGGATGAGAAGCCAGTGTCCCTTTCCTTTGACCTCATCTCTACCTCTATGTCCCTAAGAGGCTACAGTGCCACCTGGGGTGGAAGACAAGCCCCTTGCTATTTGGAGCAGCTTCTAAGTGTCCAGTCATGTGGATGCAGAGAAGGGAAGTCAAAGCTTGCTGTTGCATCAGGCACCTCCTCTCCCTGACAGCTCCTCTGGCCACAGTCCAGTCTTGCAGATTGTCCTTTGTCCCCAAGCACAGGGCTCATATAAGAGCCTTGATGTTCAGTGATATAGTACGTTGGTTAGCCTCTCCACACTGGCCTGAGTGCCGAGAGAGGAGAGGTGGAGGAAGTCACCCAAAAGGCTCCCAGTGCTGGAATCTGATGTCTCTTCTCAAGAGGAGCTACTCTCAAACTCAGTCAGTCTCACCCTGGGGCATCTGGGGCACCTAAGTATAGATTTCATTCTGTTCTCTGGGCTGAGGGCACAGAGGCTGCCTCTGTCTCCCGGCTCTGGCAGTGCCCAGCAGAGTTTGTTTACATCCACCTCAGTGGGACACCCACTTTCCCCAGCCCTACCAACCTCATCCTCCTCCCTTGAATAACAATTTTCTTCACACCTTGATCTACCCACTTGTCATTCACAACCCTCTGCATTTCCTGTCTCCAACCCAAAGGAAAACCCCAAATTTACTGTTATTATTTACCAACCCAATTGCCCCCTCACCCTAAGGCATGGAGACTCACCCCTGTTCTCAGCAAGAGAATGGGCCCAGCCCGGATCACTACCCCTACATTTTATTATGGCAGCAACAGGGACATAATAACTTCTAATGACAGTGGACTCCGACAAGGTCCCTTCTCTCTCTGCCTCCCCCACCTCTCCTTCCTTCTTCCCCTTGGAACTTATTGCTCTGATACTATAAAAACAGACAAAAACCTCAATTTCTCTGAAAGTTGAAGTTCCAGCTGGTTGGTTCTCAGCAGAGCTCTCTAGTTACTGGTGTGTCTCTAGAGAGAAATCAACCTCCACAACCATTCACAAATCACAAGCTGAAGGGTGGCAAGTGATCCCTTTAACAGCTGAGGGGATAAGCAAGCCTCTCCTACAAGGAGGAGGCTGATGGAGGACAGAGAACACCCAGGCCCTGGGATCCGGGCCGAGTTCCAGTCCACACCAACAGCTGGGTGACTTCCAGTGCCTCCCAGTCTCAGTTCATTTCCCTGCCCATGAAGCAGGGATAAAAATCCATTCTGCCTAGCCTTTCTCCCCTGCCAGCTCTGAGGATGGAGTAAGTCAAATGATCTGGGAGAGAAGCAGTAAACCAGCTTCTACTCTAGGCCCTATCATAAATCAGGTCATCCTGTGACCTTTGAGAAGACTGAATGGCTGGAACCAAGGTCACTTTCAGCTCTGAGGTAGGGTACCTTGATTTCTGCCTGAGCCCTATCACCCCCTCCTGGAATTCTCAGGTATTACACCAATCCGCTCCCTTGGTCTCTCCCAGGATTGAAACCCAATTCATCACCACCCCTTTCTCCCATGGCCCCACACAGGTGGTTTCCCCCAAACCAAGGATACCAGTGCCTGACGGTGGCTGTGTAGATCAAAGAATCATGTGCTGAAAAGCAGCTCGACTCCTGATTCAGTATTTAGCAAAAGAGGAAGGGTTTCCCAGTCTTCCTTGCCTCCCCCACGCCCCCAGAGGGCAATTACTCATGGTCCCCACACCAGATGCCTTCCTCTCTCCTCCAGGGCCCCCAGCACATAAAACCTCTCTCTATGGGTAGGAAGAACACAGGTGAGCAATGAGGGCCTGAGCCTCAAGTAGAAAGAGAAAGAAAAACTCTCAACTATTAAATCTGTTTAGTAAAGACAAATTCGTTCATACAAAACAACAGTTTACAACAGTCTGAGTGCTTGACACACCATCACAGACAAGGGCGGTGCTGTAGGCACCCAGGGCCCTGCCCCCAGACCCAGAGAAGACTCAGGGGCCCTCCACCACCAGCCCCTGAGGGAGCCACCCCCTCCTCCAGAGGGAGGGAGGAATGTGGGACCATGGCACTGAGGACTCTCCCCACGCTGATGCTCCTCAAATACTGGGGGTACCCCCTCTCGTCACAGGCCGAGTCGGGGGGATACAGTGGCTAATGGGCAGGGGGCAAAGTGGGGACATCTTTGGTGCGAAGACTACCCCCACCCACTAGGCCACACAGTGGAAATTTGAGGGAGGGCCACAAAAGTGGTCCTACCCTTGCCCATAAAGGGTAGCTGGCTGATGCCCCAGAGCCCAGGAGAGACGCTTGAAACACAGAAGTTCTGCAGTCTGACCTACCCAGGCTCACCCACGTGACCTGAGAGGCAGCCCACTGAGAAATGGCTAAAAATTTAAGAAAAATCAACAAGAATGGATTAATAATGGCAAGAAGGGGAAACAGAGGCTGTTCCAGTAGGTCAGTGCCTCAAGAGGCCCTAGGACCAGCACTACATGGGCAGTAGTCCTGAGGGTCCAGACTTCCTGAGCACTGCGACAGTGCCCAAGTCGCTCCTCTCTGCCTCCTGGAACGCAGCTAACAGGCCACGGGGCCTGGCTCTGGATCTGGACAGGCTTCCCAGGCACTTAGGCAGGCTCAGTGCAGGCAGGGACGGGGAGGTTCTGGAGCCCCACCTGCCCAGCCCCTTGAATGCACAGTCCCAGGCACAGATCTGGACACGCGCACATGCACACACGCACACACTCACTCCTATCTGTCCAGCACACTGGTGACACCTGAGGACCCTCCAGGAGAGGAGGTGGGTAGCAACCCTTCCAAGGGTAGCCTTGAGCCCCCAGAATGCCTGAGCCAGTGGGGACCCAGGACCGTAGTGAGAAAACCGGGAGGGCAGATGGGACAACCCAGGGACAATCCCTGTAACAGTTTCCACAAATACCCTTGGACAAGCCCCAAACCTTTGCAATATCCAGAGGGGAAGGTGTGTGATAGGAAGGGGAGTGAGGGAAAGGGCAACAAAAGAGGTTTCATAAAAACTCTAAGTCAATCACTGATAAAATTGCAAAATGAGCACAGGTGTGAGAGCTGCTTGCTCCCTTCTCCGCAGCCTCCTGGCCCCTCCGTCTCTGGAATGGCCAGGACCAAAGGCAGGATTCAGCCCCTGACGCTGTCTCAGACTCCACAAAGCTGCAGAGGACAGGAAGCAGAAGTGGACAGTCTGTGTCTCTTCGTTTAAAAAATAAATTCATGTAGAGTTATTGCTCGTCCTCCCGCGGACAGGAGGGCTCAGCAGCTCAGTGGGCCAGGGCTGCAGCCTCCAGGGCCCGAGCCTTCTTCCGCCTCTTCAGCAGCAGAGGGTTGGAGGCATCTTCAATCTTTTTTATCTTGATCTGCTCATAGTCAACACGCATTGTGGCCAAGGCACTGGTCATCTCCTCCTGAGGACAAGGGCAGCGGGGGAATAGCACCAGGAAGGGACAGTAAGAGAGCAAGCCAAAGTGCATGACAGAGTGCAGAGGAGAAGTGAGAGGCAAGAGAAGCAAGGCGAGCAGAACGAGGGTGCAGGGAGGGAAGACAGGCAGTTAGGGGTTCTGCACTGCTGACAGCAGCATCACCCAGTGCTGGCTGCAGAGCCTGCACTGCTCTGCTGCTCTCCCAGGATACTTCCTACCACCCTGCAGAAGATAGCAGAGCCCTGGGATGGGAGTCAGGAGCCCTGAGTCTGGTCCCAGTCAGTCACCAGCTGTGTGACCTAGAACAGGTCACTCCCCCTCTCTGGGCCTCAGTTTCCTCATCTGCAAAATGAGGAGATCATACCAGATGGCCTCTAAGGTCCCTGTTAGGGACTCTGGGAGTAGATGGCTTGTAGGCTACAATACACTTTGAATAAGTGCACAAAACTTCTGCTACAACCTCAGGGAAGTGGCTCAGAGTCATGCCTTGTTATTAGGGAGACACTAACGAAGTTAGTGGGCAAGAACATAGAGCCACTCTCCCAGCAGGGCCCTGCTCACACTGGGCACTCGGGCAAGCTGCCTCCCTGAGTCCTCCCATGCAGTGGCACCACTCACCTTGACATCTTCCCACCGTTCCTTGTCCTCCTTCAGGACCCGGCTGGTGTGCAGTGGAGTTTGAGGGACCTTTGTTGATTGCTGAGGGGACAGAAAAGGGATCCAAGTGAAAGTCTGAGGCAGATAAAGTCCTAGATAAGGACCCATACTAAGTGACATCCCCTTGGACACAGGTCTCCCTGCCTGCCAGGCTTACCATGATCCAGGGGTGGTTCATAAACTCTGTGATGGTCATTCTCTGAGTGGGCTCTGTTTTCAGCAGGTTTCGGATAAGCATCTTCACTGTGGGGTGGGGCAAGTTCAGAGACAGCTCAGGGGTCACTCCCCATTCTGCTCATCACTTTTCAGAGGAAATTAGGCTCAAAAGAAGGTTGTGTCTCAAAAGAGGCAGACTGCCCAACAGCAGTGGCCCAAGGACCACTATGCTATACCACTTGACAAGGCGCTATGCAGCCCAATAGCCCTGGCCCTGCCCAGGCCCTTCACCCAGGCAGGCCACACCCAGCAACCCACAGTGGCACCAGTCACGTGAGACAGATGCCAATGAGCATGTGTGCATACATGCACATGCGTGTATGTCCCCTGTCCCAGAAGGCTGGGCTCCTACCTTCCTCTGATACTTCTGACCATTCTGGGTTGGGAAATTCGTACTGGCCCATTCGGATGCGAGTCTTCATGCCCGGAGAGATAGCAAGGCCATGGTTGGAATAGAAGGGGGGATACCCACAGAGCCTGTGACAGACCGAGGCAGGAAGAAAGGGACAGATTAGGTGTTATTTAGGGACCCTATGCCAGGAATAGGGTGAGAAACAGTCTCTTCTCCTTGTAAAGGTCACAAGGGACTCATTTACACAGGAATGACACACAAAGCCAAAGACAGAGCCCAGGAATCCAACACACCAAGTATCTTAACCACACACATCTAGCCCTTGAGCTAGTTCCTCCCCACTGTGCAGCAATCAGACCACACAAAGCACTGAGAGAAGCGGGTGTGCCGGGGATTCCCAGGGGATCTCCTGTCCACTAGGAAATGCTAACATTCACCTCTTCCTCTTGTCCTGGAGAGATACGAACCTCCCTGGCTCCCTGCCCCACTGCAGCCCAAACCACCCTGGCCCCCTCCCCAGCACACTCACAGAATGTACATGATGACACCTAAGGACCACATGTCACAGGACTTGTCATACTTCTCTGGGCCTAGCACTTCCGGGGCTGCAAAACAAAGATCAGTGTGGATGGGAACAGTGTGACCCACCCATTTCTCTGTGGGTGATGCTCCCCGTACAACCCTCTGGCCCAACATGACGGGACAACTGCAGGAGTGGGAGGAGGAAAGCAGAGGACTCCCCTCCAGGCACTGAACCTGCAGTCAGTTCTTAACATGAGAACACCCCAACCAGAGAGACCTGCAGACTTGTGCCAGCCATGTAATTTCACAAACATGCCTTATTCTGTGCCTGTCAGCTGAGACTCCAGAGTTAAATCTGGGTCCCCGACTTAGTCACTGAGAACCTGATGGAAATAATGGTTCTTCTCAGAGACACAGTTCAGGCACCAAAATCCTGCCCATGATTCCAGGCAACAAGTTCTATGATATCTCGGTCCTACCTGAACTCTGACAGACCTACTTTTTTTTTGATGGTGCAAAGGATGGAACCCAAAGCCTCACACATGGGGGCCCTCCACCACTGATCTACATCCCCAGCCCTGAAAACCCTACCTCTGATGGGATCCTACCAAAACTAGCACAGAAAAGGCAAAAAGACTCTCCCCAGATCTGAAGAGGAGGGGTTGAGAAAAGTCCTGGGGAAACATTAGGCCCCTGGGCCTCCTCTGGACTTACCCACATAGTATGGCGTATAACAAGGAGTGGTCAAAGAGTTATGGCTGGTGGTTTCCTTGGCAAAGCCAAAATCAGTGAGTTTCAGAATGGCGTTGGGCCTTTTAGAGGTGTATAAGAGATTCTCAGGCTACAGAAAGAAAGACAGGCAAGTGAGCACCCTCGCTGAGCCTAGGAGGACTGTCAGAAACCAGAGGGTGATGGCGGCTCCTTCCCACCCACCCCAAAGCCATTTGTCCAGCCCAGAGCTGCACACGTGGGGAACATGGAGCTCACAGTCCAACACCCAGGATAGGACACGACAGTGTGAACACTACAGGGTCAGAAAACTCACAGTGCTGATAGGGAGAACCCAATCTGAGTGCAATCAGAGAAGGCTTTGCTACTGGGTTTGCAGTTTGTTCATTAGCAGAAAAAGCAGGTCACCACAGAGCAGAGAATGACACACTGACCCATTCCACCCTCATGAACCAGGCAGCTGAGTACAGAGTGACTCTAGCAATCTGCAGGTCTCCAAGTCCAGCCCCCGCAACCAACAAAGCACTCAAGCATGGGACATAAATAGCTGGTACCTTGACATCCCGATGAGCAATGTTGATTGAGTGCAAATACTGGATGGCCTCACCAATGCTCTTCATGATTTCTGACGCTTCTAGAGAGGAGGGGTGGCAGTGTGGAAGAAAGTCTCAAAGATGTGCTATCAGGTTTGAAAATCCCAAACACCAGCCCCCACCCATGCAGCCAGAGGTCCTCACACCCATCACCCACCCCAGAAACCAAGAAAACAGTAGTTGTCCTCAGCAACTGAAGTGACACCTCTGGCGGTAAAGAGACAACAGCCTCGGACTCTTTCCTGAAAGCAGGCCCGGCAGAGGCCCTTGGTCCCCTACTGCCCTGCCCACCCAAGCCTACCCCCACGACAGACCCTTTCTACCTCTTTCTGTGAATGCTTGGTCTCCTCGGTCCTGGATTCGGCTAAATAGTTCTCCACCATCCAAACTGAAAGAAAACCCACCTTGAGATCCACTACCCCTAAAGAAAGCCAAGAATGTAACATTCCAAGCTTCAGGTCCACACTGAGCTGTCCTCAGAGGGAGAGGCACCTGAGCATGGTGGGGACAGGCTGGGCTGGAACTGCTTACCACTCCATGACAATCAGCAGGCACTTCCTGCCTGCATACAGGTTCTCGTAGACATCTACAATGCGCACGATGTGTGGGCACTGGGAGGCCCGCCAGTGCAGCTCCACCTCCCTGCGGGCCTTGGGGCAGTCCTGGAGCATCTGCAAGAAAGCACCTCCTGAGTGACGCAGGCTCTGCAGAGGAGGCCCCCCACCCCAAGTCCCCGTTCCCACTCACACTATCCCAGCCCCAGCCCAAAGTCACAGGCGCCTCCTCCTAGATCCTGAAAGGACTCTTGACAGGATCCCTTCATGGCCTCAACAGCTAGGAGGAGATCAGCCCTTGGGCCAGGAAAGGTCATGAAGGCTACAGAGGCAGGCTGCAGTGGGGTATTGGAGGACCATGGTGAAGGGAGGAGATATGGGGAGAAAGAAAGACTTGAGAATGGAAAGGGGCCTGAAGAGGGAAGACTCCAGAATCGGCAGGAAAAGGCAACCTCCAAGATCACTCAAACCTGCACACCAGACACAGAAAAATGTTCTTTTTACCCACAGTTGACTTCACTCAACCAGCAGATGGCCTCCAGAGTCAGCCTTTGCTGGTCTGAATCCCCATTCATACCAGCTTTACAACCTTGAGCAAATAACATACCTCACTGAGCCAGACCCCTCTTCTTACCTGAACCAAGTGTCTAGATACTAAAGGAAACTGCACCTTCCTCAGCCTCAAGGGCTGAACCATGGCTAGTCTGAGCCAATGTCATTGGTTCCATTCCTTTTGCTAGTGACTGGCTTGGGAACAAGCCTATGACCCAAATGACCCAGAAGATCTTTAGGAAATCTACTCAGAGGCTACTACCAAAGAGAGCATGGAGTATACAACATCTCTCCTGGATGTGGCACCAGGACCATGCCAGTCACCTGGGTACTAGTAAGGGGGTCAGCTGAAAAGGAGAAACTAATGCACTGAGATGACATCACCAAGAACCCCTCATGACTTCTTTTTGATAAGATTAAAAAACTTTCTTAACTGTTGAAGCTATTTTTGGTAGAATTTTCTTATTGTTTGGAACCTGACATACCTCTCCTGTGTAAAGTGAGGGTAACAGTTTCTTTTTCACAGATATGTTTTAAGGGTCAAATATACTACAAAGCACCTAGTAGAGTATCTGACATGTGCTCAATAGCTGTTGTTTTTACTACAGATGCCAAAATAATTGAGGCAAGGGTCCTTGCAGACTTTCCATCTTCATGAGAATTCAAGAAAGCCCTATGTAGTACACACTTCAAGTGCTTTGGAAATTTCAAGGGCTGGGGTGTCAGGGAGAGAGCAAGGTTAGGAAGTAAATGCACAGGCAAAAGGAATTCACCCAGTCAGGGGAAATGACAAGAATCAGGCACTGACTGACCAAGATGGAGCAGAGGAGGGGATGGGTGAGTGGGTGATGCAGCAGCGAGGGCTGAGAGGCCTGCTGGAGAGTGCATGAGTCTTGGTTAGTAAGATCAGATGACCGAGAGGGAGCCAGATTACAAATGAGTCAGATTCCAGTGAAAGGCAAACACATAAATTTGCAACAATAAAACTAGCATGCATTTATGCGATGGCCCATGATATGCCGGGCCTTTTTTAGTTTTATAACAATTATCATTTTATAGGATGAAAAAACTGAGGCTCAAAGAAGTGGTATTCCCAAAGCTAAGTTTCTGAGAAAAACAGGCCCAGAACTGGAATCCAGGCCTGACAGACTCCAAAGCCAGGCTTTTCAACCACACAATGCAGTTGTGTTTTGTTGTTGTTGTTGTTGTTGTTTGGTACTAGAGATTAAACTCAGAGCACCTAATCCCTGAGCCACATTCCACTCTTTTAAGACAGGATCTTGCTGAGTTACTTAGTGCCTCACTAAATTGCTGAGGATGACTTTGAATTCATGATCCTCCTGACTCAGCCTCCCAAATAGCTGGGGTTACAGGCCTGCAACACTGCACCCAACATACTACCCAGCTGTTAAGAGAGGCTAGAAGCTGAAATTTCCCAGAGTGACTTTGCAGAGGCAATTCCCCAAGCACGTATCCAGAAAGAATCACTTAAATAACTCAGTCTTCCTGGGAGCACTCTAAGAATAGTAGTTGCAAGAGGAAAGATCCCCATGGGGTCACACTGCCACCTTGTGGCCATATGAGAACACTGCACAGGTCCTGAGTTCTGCTACTTTTCACTTTATTCATTTGAATGAATCCAGGAAAAAAGAGAAGAGTAGGAGGCGGCACTGGCTGATTTCGTGTGTATGTAATTCAATTCAACAAGTATTTATGAAGCTCCTACTACAGGCCTTGCTGAAAGTCAAGGCCAAAGGGGGCCCTAATCTGAAAGTTCAAAGCAGTGGGGTAGAGCCCCCCAACCCCATGCACACACACACTGGGTATAAAGTTCAAAGAATTTCAAAACTCTTTGTTCAGAGGAAGAATTCTGAAGTGACAGCCACCTCTGAACCCTGCAGTCAATAAGCCTGCTTCTTGGCGTGTCCAGTCTCTTTGGTCCTACTTCAGAAAGGGAGGACAGGAGAAGAGGTAGACACAGTAAGTGTTCATAATCTGTCCCTCTCTTCCTGTTCTCCATCAAGGGTGTGTAACTGAGATAAAAGAAGAATCCCACATACAACTCTTTCCCCACAGGGTCGGCTCCCCATCAGTGGGGAAAACAGCAGAGTAGCTAAGGCACTGCCAGAGCCTCTGGCATCAGGAGAAAGAAAAAAAAAAAAGATGGCCACCCACTACACCTACCATGGTGCCAAGGTAGAAGAAATCCTGAAAAGGCTAAAGGTACGGGAATATGAGTCAAGAAAGAATTTCTCAGATAATGAAAACTTTGATTAGGGAACCATGAACACATCAGTCTGGGGATCAAATGACCCTAGCATTGGTATTGATGGCCTGGGATTCTAGGTGGTTCTGGGAAGGTCATGTTTCAGCATCACAGACAAGAAAAGCAGGACAGGATATGTTGAGGCCAAATACATAATCAGCAAAGAGGAAACCATGTGCAGTTCCAGCAGAAGTAAGATGAGATCATCCATCCTGGCAAATGAACTCCCATTCCTATCCAAAAAGGCCAATAAAAAGTTCTCAGTGAAATGTTTTCTTTAAAAATGCTTATAACCCAGTGAGCTAATGTGCTATAAGAGTGCTAAATTCAAAGGGCTCAGGAGCAAATAAATGTTTCCAGAGCAGCCAAGCAGGAAAGATCTCTGTCGCCCTCTACAGGCACCTGGGAACAGAGGCCCAGAGAAGAAGAAAGCTGTCAAATTTACTCAGAGGCAACTGTGTGAGGTTGTATATCTACAGCCAGGAGAGACCTGGGCCCTGGTCTGGAATTTGTTAATATCTGATTGAGTACCATTCTGAGATGCTCCAAGTTCAGAAGGCAGGACAATGAGACCTTCCTAGCTTCTTTCTCACAGAGCCCTTGTGAGCAGCTCCTGAAATAAAGCCTCTAAAGGGTTTTATTATCAGGAAGGCACTCATCACTGCAAGCCAGCAGCATTACTGCCACAGCAGCAGGGTCATGGCTGACTGAGGCCAGAGCTGGCAGGATAGTAGCCTGGTTTCTGTCTTTAGCCCAGTGACTACCACCTGGGCATCAGATCCCTGCTCTAAACCAGAGCCATGCTCAGTGAGGATGCACCGAGGCCAAGCCCTAGTGCACATCTCTGGCACCCCTGAACTTGGAGCGCTAAATGCAAGTTCTACTCTTTCTGCCATTGACAGGTACACAGCACAAGGCAAAAGAGAATTTGCCATCAGAAAGTCTAGTTCACAGCATACTCCCAGATTTAGAAAGTCATCTGCTAGAAGGGGCAAGTTGGGGTAATACAATGAAGCTGGCCTTAGAAATCCCGTGCATTTACTATTTTGTAAATCTGTGCCTATCTCCCCCAATATAAGTTTCTGAAGGGAAAGGTCTCCTGTTGTTTCTATTTACCCCTCCCTTTTCCCTCCCTTCACCCAAGGGTATATGGATTGTTTAGTTTTTTCCTACATTAGGGAAAAGGAATTTCTGGGCACAATCCTTTCCCTGTTGCTCCTTCTCTCTATGTATCTAAACTCTGTCGATGGAGGTTCCTCACCAAAAGTGACTGTGAGTGGGCTGCAAGATGTCTATCCTCCATGAAGTTAGCTGAAAAGCAGAATATTCTTAATTCTTAATGAAATATACTAAGAATTTTTCAAGAAGACTGGTAATTGATATATATCCAGGCACATGTTTATCAGAAATCTGTGAGTGGATATGAAAATCAAGCAAGCCATGCAAGCAATACCTCCCAATTGGCCAGGCAGGCAGGCTGACATCATGGGGCAGAGCCATGAAGTGCTAAAGATACTTGCAGACAAGTGTGGAAGACAGAAAGCGTAGAGAAAGAAGTCAAGAATGTGCTAATCTGGAGTTCAGGGCTAAGTAAAGAACAGCAGGAAAGGTGGCCTGTGCTCCCAGCCAGAGGGGGATAGGGAAAGGGAGCAGGGCTCCCAGAAGGCTGTCAGGGGCCATAAGCAGAGGAACTAGGGCATCAGGTAAACAACCAAAGCCACGAGAGTCACGTGGGAAAGGTCCTCTGGAATGAACAAGGACAGTGGTGGCCAAAGGGCTTGGGACCACAGTTCTGAGCACCACAGGCTAGAAGAAGGAAGGGTCTTCCTACTGAAAAGCCACAGGCCTTTAGTCACAGAGGGCCTGGGGGGGGGGGAGGGCTGAACAGCATGAAGCCCATGCTAAGCCTGGAACTAATACTGTGACTTCCTTCTGTCCCACAGAGTTTGTGTCTGAAATTCTCCCGCACTATAGAAAGGTTAACTGCTACATGTGCTACACTGCAGTGCAACAGCCTAGGGCACCTGCCAAGTGTGGCAGGGGTCAGGACCAGGTCACAGAACCCACTGCCTGGGGATGCCAGGATAGTGGCAGTGAGGGAGACACAGGAGGTACCCAAATGTAGTTCCAGACCTCTCCAGAGGAAAAAGGGACAGGGCCTTTGATTCAGGTTGTACCTGGTCTCCTTTATCTCCCCTCCCATCTCCATCACAGGGTCCCCCAAAAAGACATTGTAAGCCAAGCTGAAAGCCAGAGAAAAGGAAGGAAATCAGGGAGACCATGGCCTCAGGTACTACTC